TCCACCCGATCTGCCAGCTTGTTTGTTCTCACTCTAAGCCTCCTTTGAGCATAACATATATAAGAAAATATTTTAATACATCAAATCGGCACGTACTCAAATCTTTAAACATAGAAGTCCACATGACATGGCAAAAATAAGAAGAAGGCTTACTATACTTGTAGGGTCTTGAAGGCTATGTAGAAGCTCAGTAAATTGGAGAAGATGAAAGGTAAGACCAATTGCATGAAAATTACGGGAAGAATAGGTTTAATAGAGGAAGTGGGGAAAGTTTAGTGTTATGGCAACCTGGAAGGTACGCACACAGGAATGGCAGGAAAGGAAGTGAAGAGGCTGAAGGTTACAATGTGAGGGGCCTTGCTTACTAGGGTTGGAAGTGGAAGGCAGTGCAATATAATGGCTCAAAGCAAAGCTCTGCTCCTTGCCAGCTATGTGGGCAAGATATTTCTATGCATCAAGCTTTCACTTTCTAGTCTGCAAAATCAGAGTAATGAAACCTACTGCAAAGAGTTAGTGTGAAAGGACTTGAGATAGCAACTGTGAACGTGCTTGCCTCTTCCTGGTTTAGAAACACTCACTACATTTTTGTGTAACCTGATTTTACACCAAAGACAACGAAGTCTTTCACGCATAAGACTAGGGCATTAGATAACTATAGTGACAGTGTGGAAGCCCTGTTTGAAGGAGTAAGTTGAGTGGAGACAGGGCAGTAAACTAGAAATCTATGAAATTGATGAGAGCCTTAGAAAAGTAAGTGACTATGGAGTTGTAGAAAGAGTGGTGGATTTGAGATAAATTTTCTAGTGAAAATCTATAGACTTCTTGGTTGACTGAAGACCTGATGTATCACTATAGGACAAGCACTGGACTGCTAACCACAAAGTCAGTGATTCAAACCCACCAGTCACTCCTAAGACACCCTATCCAGGGTCACTACGAGTCCAAACTGACTCAGCGGCACTTAGCAACAAGTGTTGTTGTTATTGTTAGGTGCCATCAAGTTGGTACTGACCCATAGCCACCTTATGTACAGCAGAACAAAACACTGCCTGATCCTGGGTCAACCTCACTACTGTTGGCACACTTGAGTCTATCGATGCTGCCACTTGGCCAGTCCATCTCGTTGGGGTCTTCCTCTTTTTCTCTGACCCTCCACCTTACCAAACATGATGTCCTTCTTTAGTGATTGGTCCCTCCTGACCATATGTCCAAAATATGAAAGACTAAGTTTGGCCATCTTGGCCTCCAAGGAGCACTCTGGCTGTAATTCTTCCAAAACAGATCTATTGGTTCTTTTGGGAGCCCATGGCACTTTCAATATTCTCCTCCAACACCAGAACTCAAAGGCATCAATTCTTTTTTTTTAATGTTTTATTGTGAATTAGGTGATAGTTTACATGGGAGAACATTAGCTTTACATTCATTCTATCGTATATCGTCTCATTGCCATAGTTACAATCCCTTCCATGCATTATCAACCAACCAAAGGGTATACACTACGGCATCAATTCTTCTACAGTCTTCCTTATTCACTGTCCAGCTTTCGCATGCATATGAGGTTATTGAAAATACTATGGCTTGCCCTGGTGCGATTCCGTCCTGCGCGGCTGTTTTCAGTAGCAGCAACCCAGTTATCTCTGCCCTTCTTCTCTATCACCTAAGTGCACACCATCACCCCATGGAGGATTCGATGGATATGGACATGAGCCCCCTGAGGCCCCAAAACTACCCCTTCGGTTGTGAACTAAAAGCCGATAAAGATTATCACTTTAAGGTGGATAATGATGAAAATGAGCACCAATTATCATTAAGAACGGTCAGTTTAGGAGCTGGTGCCAAGGATGAATTGCACATTGTTGAAGCAGAAGCAATGAATTATGAAGGTAGCCCAATTAAAGTCACACTGGCTACTTTGAAGATGTCTGTACAGCCAATGGTCTCCCTTGGGGGCTTTGAAATAACGCCACCAGTAGTCTTACGGTTGAAGTGTGGCTCAGGGCCTGTGCATATTAGTGGACAGCACTTAGTAGCTGTGGAGGAAGATGCAGAGTCAGATGATGAAGAGGAAGAAGTGAAACTCTTAAGTATGTCAGGAAAGCGGTCTGCCCCTGCAAGTGGTAACAAGGTTCCACAGAAAAAAGTAAAGCTGGCTGCAGATGAAG